ACCCTTCACTTATCAATTGGAAAGGTAGTTCTTCTCCACGATAATGCACGTCCACATGTGGCACGTTTGACACAACACAAGATTAGATTGGAGTTGGGCTGGGAAGTTCTCCCCCACCCACCATATTCTCCAGATATGGCACCATCAGATTACCATCTTTTTCATTTGCTGCATCACCATCTTAATGGGGAAATGTATGCAAATGTGGCAGGTGTTAAAGATGACATCAACATGTTTTTTGCTTCAAAGCCAAGTGATTTCTTTAATCAGCACATTAACAACCTGATTGTAAGATAGAAAAGAATCATCTATAAGAATGGAGATTATTTCATTTAATAAATGTTTCGTTTTGATGTATAACTTGATTGGGTTTTTTCATGTAAAAAAAAAATGATATTAATTTCTTGACAACCTAATAATACATCATATCGTAGATGAAAACTTTGGCTTTCTAATTGGTTATAGATAATACAGAGTTAAATGTAAGAGAGAACTATCAACGAATTCTGGAAGAGAGAATGTGACAAGTGGGTGTGGCAAAAGGGGTTTGATTTTCTATTTGACAGCTATGTAACCAAACAAAATTGAAGGCTATAAAAAGTATGGTTTCTCTGAAAAGGACAATTTGATAGTGTAATTTACATTTAATTTTGTATTTATTGAAGGGGTGGTAGATAAAATAGAGAAGAGAATGTGCCTAGAGAACATTAGAGGAAATAAAGGATTTTTAAAAATATTGCCATATAAAATTAAAAACTTATGAAGTATATGGGTTATTAGCTAAGATTTTATTTCATACTAATTGGTATAACATAAACAAAAAGTAGATTAATAAAATTTTGAATGTAAGACACTAAAAAACACGTGCAGAAATAGATGCTCATAGTGATAGGGTTAAGCAGGTACTATCACTCTAAAGATAAAATATATCCTTTATAGAGGTGTGGCTTTATTAACAATTTAATTCTAAAGATTGTGAAATTAAGCATAATGGTAAAATTGGATGACTATTAAAAGTGAGAATTGGGAAATATAGATGTGCTATAGAAAATAGTAACATAATAGAATCCACTTTGGCTAAACTTGTGTTTTTAAAAAAAGTTATATTTTGTTGGTCAAATTTTTTAAAAAGAGTTGCATATTGCTAATGTGGATCCTCCTCTTCCTAATGGGAACATAGGCCAACATCCCAAATCCATGTTTACAGGACATCACAGGCTCTGTCCCTGGGACCGACCTCCTAACCATTTTGTGTTTGTTATAGTTTTCATGCTATAAATTTTAAATTAGTAACCCTATATTCATGAAATTTGGGAGATTATCAGTAAACATTACAATGCTTTCATACACAAAATATCAGGTTTTTGTATTAAGTCATAAAGTTTGTTAAGCAATGTTTTTGCATGTTGCCTATCAAACATGCAAAGTAATTTTCATTTTAAGATTAAAAATATTTTTCTGTATCAGAAAATTTTCAAATTTCACATAAAATAATGTACAGATATTTATCAAACGTTTCTTAAGAAAAAATTTTATATTTTATCTGTTATTTTGTCTAATGAATCTCTGTATGGTTTTGTTAGATTTGACCAATCTTGTAACCACCATAAAAAATGGGGAAATAAATATAAATTATGCTTCTTTCATTCTAGAATGAACACAAATTATAATATGAAAACATAAATGTTTAGACTAAATAGCTTAAATCTCATAACGTTATACAGTTATATATATTTATTATATTGACCTTTCAGCTGTGCCTGGTTAACAATAAAGAAGTTACAATGGCGTGGCTCACTTGCACTCATGTTACTGTATCAAATATCATAAAACTGACCTTTAGTCTTCACAAAGTGACCTGTCTTGGTTGTGTTTTAGTAGACTAGTATTTTGTAAAATACAGTCACATTTTAATTATTATATATGTATATAGAGTATTACTATTTACAAACAAGTTCTTAAACTTATTTGTAATAAAACATAGAACAGTAAATTAAGAAGTAAAGCAAACAGTTATCTCTTCTAGTTACTACCTTTGTACTCAATTGCTGCTTGTGATAGCTTGCTAAGCCTTAAGAAATTTTGCATATGGAGGATGTGCAACAAAATAATTTTTTTAGGTTTTATATATACAGTTGTATGACCAAAAATCATAAATTACCATATTGATACCATAAAATTCCATTATAATTTATCAAGTTTAGTAACTAAGCTGTATTTGGGTCTAAAAAAATATGAAATTTGAACAGGCAAAAGATTCAACTTACCAGAGAAAGTTTTGTGTTGAAAGAAAGAGATGATGCCGTTATATTTGAAAATGGCTGAGAAAGCCACTAAGGAAACATTGCTTTCGATTGGTTATTCACATGTCATATATAGAAGTAAGTGTATATAAGGGACTGTTTCATAAAATGGAATAAGGTTAGTAGTGCCACTGTGTTTGATTAAGTATATGAGTGATATCTCAGCACATAGAAAAGATAGGAGGTTCTTATTTTATATTCTAGCTTGTCAATATTGTTAATTTGAGTTTCTAATTTGAACAAAACTATAAACTCTGTATTTTGACATCACAAACACTTAATTTGAACCAGTGCTGCATTCAATATACCACGTGAGACACAAAAATCAATGTTTAGGTGTGTTTTTTTATATATTTACTTTTAAATTAATAAAAATGAATAATGTATAATACTAAAACTTGAATTAGAATCTACAGTTTGATACCAAATGTAATGACATAAATTCATAAAATAGTAGTTCAATAAAACTGTGAATACGATTCAACAAATGCGATGACATGGCCTTTGACCCTTCTGGAAAGGGTTAAATACATGCAGACAGATATGCAGTTTACTATATCAATTAAATACTGGTTTGATCCTTGATGGTAATCGACAGTGAAAGTACAAACATATGTTGTTGTTGTTTCTTTTAGTCTTTGTTTTTAAATCACCTTTTAAAAAGATTCATTAGCAGTCGAAATATCTTAAGAATTTTTTCTTTCAGAGCCATCAATGAAGACCAAGCGAAACCACGTTCTTTAAGGTTCACTTGGAGCATGAAGACCACTTCCTCTCGTGATCCAAATGAAATAATTCAGGAAATACGCAAAGTTCTAGAAAAGAATAATTGTGACTATGAACAGAGAGAGAAATATCTTTTACTGTGTGTACATGGTAATCCTAATTCAGATTTTCTTGTTCAATGGGAGATTGAAGTGTGCAAGTTGCCTCGGCTATCTCTAAATGGAGTTCGATTCAAGTGGATTTCAGGTACATCTATTGGATTTAAAAACATTGCTTCGAAAATAGCTAATGACTTAAAAATTTGAAAACTGGTCCTTAAAATAAATGGTTGTTGTGTTACTAAAATATATGGTAGGCATCTCCTTCCATAAAAGGATAGTGATGAATTATTGATCAATTATTATTTATGTTAATAAATTGTCTTCAAGATTATTAGGGTATAGTTAATGATGAAAGATTTAGCTTAGGAACATAAGGATGTGTTTGTATGTATACTACATGTTTGTGTGCATATGTATTATAAAACTATACATAGTCTTCATTATTGAATTTTTTGTACCACATAATAATTGTGTTCAAAAACTGTAGTTGTTAAAAAATATTTCGTGGAAGATTTTAGAGTATAGTCAAACAAATTTGCTTTTCCACACTTGATGGTAATGTTTTTATTTCATTATTCATTATATCTGAGCAAAGGTAAGGAAGACATAATTTGACTTTTGTAAAGAAGAGATAATATTGGTATTTTCATTGAATATAAAAACAGCATATTAGAGGATTTGTTAGGGCATCCCTTTAAAAATGAATTCCCTCCATTTTTATACTTTTCTTATGGCACTTAGAATTTGATTATGTGATATTCTTGAAAATAATATTGAAAAATTACTACTTCATTTGTTTATAGTGTATTGTAAAGAGCCAATCAAAATAATATTAATATCTGGAGAATTTGGAGTTTTCTCTTTTAAAAAGGTGGGTTTCTTATTTTTTATAGCCTTGCTAGTTCCTTGCCACTTGTGTATATATAAATAAAATGTGTTCAGTATTATGTTTACATATATCTGTATAAAATAAAATAATACCATTCGATAATATTTCAGTAAATTTGAATTTGTTAGGCTAAAGTTTTCTAAATGCAGGAAATGATAAACCACAAATTGCTAACATGAGTATTAACAAGTTGAAAATTTAGTGTTATTTTGACTGTTTTTATTTTATTCATTTGACTATCTTGTTTTTACATTAAGTGAAAATATTTATTGTATATATATGACAAATACTGTGTGTTTTGGAATTAAATTGAGATTTCTTGATAAAAAAATATTTGAATCATACTATGTGTTATATATGACTAATCATCTATCAATAAAATCTTTTTTTTTTCATTGTTTAAATTTATGTATCTGAAACTTGGATATTTGATCAGTAGATGACAGGAAGTCAGTAAGCAGTTCAGTAAAATAAATGTTTTCATGCCAAAAAAATACATCCAGTCATGCAGGGATATAGTTTTTACAGTTTAAACATAGGTCTTGTGCTCCAGTAAGAAACACTATATAAAAATTCTCACACTTCAACAGGATATATCTTTTAATTGTAATTTATTATCTTCTGTGTTTTAAAAATAACATCTAAATATAAAGCTTTACTTCAGGTGATATGCATCACTTGGTGGCTACATGCCTGTGCAAATAGATTTTTCTTATCAAAACTATCAAGTTGTACTGAATAGTACCTCGTAAACAGAAAAAAATATAATTCAATACAGTTTTGTGATGGAGTGGAGTGGTACCTTGAAAATTCTTCACAGTTTGTTTCCTATCATTGGAAAAGGTTCCTTGAGATCTTGCAATCTAATACAACAGACATACACAAAGAGATATTATGAGCTGAACTTACAGATGATCTTTGAATGAAGAAGGTTTTGATAGTCTAAGTTTAACACTAGGAAGTAGTGATAAGTTGTCAGTTTTTGACATTATGGTGGAAACTTTTCCTGTCCGTTGTGCAAATTTATGCTTTTCTTTAGTATGTTGTTATTGTAAGCTAAGATCTAATGTCTTTACATCTTTCATCACTGGCTTGGTCCCAAGGACCGATCTCATAATCATTTTGTGCTTGTTATAGTTTTCATGCTATAAATGTTAAAATAGTAAGCATATTTTTTATGAAATTTTGCAAATTATCAGTAAACATTACAAGGTTTTCATACATGTAATATCAGATTTTTTTTATTAAGTTATGTCTTTCTCATGCTCTTTTTCTTTTCAAATGTTGATTATTCAACATGCAAAGTAATTTTAATTTTAAGATTAGAAATACTTTTATGCATCAGAGAATTTTCTAATTTGACATGCGAAAACTTTATAACCTTTCCGATTGAGGAGAGAAGGACATTTCTAACGAATGGCTTGATTTAAGCATTCCAGTTGCTGACTATAGATCTCTGCATTGACAGTTTACTGTGGATTGAGAGTTCGAAATGAATTAGTCCTTTGATGTCTCACGAAATGCAAAGCATCACTTTCTGCAGATGGAGTCCATGTTTTGGAGTCGGAAGTGGTATTTTTTCTAGGACTGAGCCATTATTTTTGGCATTTAATATTAGCATAGAGAATCCATTTTTCATCACCGGTGACAATTCTGTCCAAAAATGGTTCACAAGCAACAGGTGCCAGAAGAGACAAAGCAACATTCACACGTTGGAAACGATGATCATCTGAGAGTTTGTGAGGCACCCAAGCATCATCTTTATGGAGTTTTCCCATATTCCTTAAATGTTTATTTATTGTTTCATGAGAGACATGTAATTTCAGGGCCATTTCACAAGTGTGTTGCCTTGGGTTAGACCCAACAAGCGTCTTCAGAGCATCAGTATCAATTCCAACATGTCAGTCCCTGCCATCACAGTTTTTAAGGCAAAAGTCACCTGAACGATCGTTGACACTTAAGAACGTTCAAAACATTTCCATAAACTTATTTGATATTCTTTGGGCTACAGAGGCATTGTTTCCGTTTTTGTATTCAAACAGCATTACATGCCAAATGTGTGTGTGTTCGAGTGCCATTACTATAAGCGATTAGAGTATACTAAACTTTACACATTGTATAGGCTACACTAACGTGACGTTTAGGCGGTTTGTTTAACTATTATACATGATGTACATTTTTTGGGGGTGGTTAATGAGAGTGTTCCAAAATGTGAAATTAATTTCTTGACAACCTAATAATTCATAAGAAACTATTGATTTTGTGTTTGGACATCACACACATCTAATTTGAACGAATTCTGCATTCAACATACCACATGACACATAAAACATTGATACTTAGGTGTTTTTTTTATAATTACTTTGAAATTAACTTATGTATGATACTAAAATTAGAATTATAATCTACAATTTTATACCAAACTTATTGACATACATACATACATAAAATAGTAGTTTAATAAAATTTTGAATGCAAGTCAATAAACCAGATGATATGGCCTTTGACCTGTCGTCGATATGGTTAAATAAGTGTACAGTATAGTACTTAACCAACTCACCATAATTTTTAGTACATCCTGATTTATCTAATATATAATCTTTCCCCCACTTATTAACTACTGGTAGATATTTGATCCTCAATTTAATCATTACAAAAACGTAGTGAAAGTATTGAATTCCTGTCTGATCAAAATTTATGAAGATTCAGTATATTTTTAACTTATTTAAAGAAAAAAAAAACTTCAAATCAGATAGCCTTACCTCTTAAATATTGTATGCCTTTCCTTGTTGAGTATCAACTTATTCTGTCAACAAAACATGACTAAGAATTTCCAAATGTCCTATAGGTATTTCAGAGCATACACCACTTACCCATAATTCTCTACTCTCCCACCTTTCACATGATTTATTCCACAAGGATCAGGGAATCTCACATAAGCTCTGTTTTTCTGCCATAATTTAGATTTTCTTATTGACAGTTGTGCTGTTAACTTTACTTTAATATTCTTTCTGATGCAACTATTTTTGCCACTATCAGCATTTCTGTAACTTAGTTGAAAGCCTTTTTTTATGGGATTTTTCTGTAGCATGCAAGGTCAAATTGTAGCTGCATTGTTAATCGTGATTGTTCAATGTATTCATGCTGTTGAATACTGATATCCCTTTGGTATAACAATTGTGTGAATATTTAATTTGTATAACGCTCACCATTTTTTATTTATTTTTTTATGAAGATCAATGTTTTTGCTCAGTCTGCAGAGCTGGATTTATCTGCTACAGTTAGCTTTAATACTGTCTACCAGGGTCTCATTTCTCTTTATCTTATGTTATATACTTTCAATTGAACCTATTTCCATTGAAACATTCTTTTCTGCACCATTATTAGTTGTTATCAATCTCCTGAATACTTGAATTAGGTTAATGTTTACTTTGGTGTCTTCATTACCTAAGAGTCTCATTGATAATATTTATATAACTATGTAGTTCTCATGTTCCTTTGATAATTTTGCCTGTTGGGCTGTATTTCAAGGTCCTAATCTTTTAATCAACTTATCTCCACACATATGTAGGAGATATAACATAAAACAATTTCCAAAATGTGAACAGGAAACTTGTACACATTGATGTATATATATTTATATATAAACATAGGTATATCACTTTAACTTGTTTTCCATGCTTGCCAGCAGGGGTTGATTAAGGTTTTATTATCTAATTTTGCTTTTGGTCATCATAACCTTCTAAAGTCCTGTGTGTGATGTTTTTTGATGCATGCTACATCTATTCACGCTTGTAGTGTGGCTTAGCATCTGTGTAAGCAGGGTGGGTCTTTATGACTCACTCTTTAACTCTCTGTTCTGGATGACTTGTTCATCTGGACTTTAGAGGGTCAAATCAGTTTTTTCTTCTCCTGGGGACCCTTTACTTTATATTCCATACGTTCATCAGATTCTTCACTTCATTTTCTATTGACCATCTAATTTAGACTCATTCAGTTTCAAACCCTTTCCACTACAAAATGATATTGATTTTGTACTTTATGTTTTATCACAGTTTTTATTTTCATCTCTTTGTTGTGACAAAGAAAACAGGAGATTGGTAAGTGGTTTTTAGATCTTTCCTATTTCATTTGTTATCTAGATATTTCTACTTTCTAGATTGAACCTATGACAATCTTATGAAAGTTCCTTCATCATGGTTCTGAATGACAATGGGGATTTCAAAGATATTTATTTACAAATCCTGTACATTCATCTTTATTTTTCACATGGTGGAGTGACTTATCAATTCATGCACCTCCCATTTTTGTCTTGCTGTGGCACACTACATCTTCACACATTTAGTGAAACAACTAGCTGTTCTTATACACACATTCAATAGTCATCATTATATGAATGATTAGAGGATTCTGACTTATTGGTTGCCTCACAATTAACTTTGACTCTGGAATGGATTGTCCAAGTCTAACTTGTGACTACTCAATATTTCATTCATGTTTTGTATTAATATAACAATGTTTTGAGACAACATGGGATCTATTGGTCCATCTCAGCAGTTCCATCCTCTAAACTAAATTAAAATAACTAAAAAAAATTTTAAAGCCAGCCCTTTTCATTCATATACTTATCAAACTTTTTCTTAAACTCACTTAAATTTACTGCCTCTATAACATCTGGAGACAACCCATTCCAAAGGCCAATCACCGTGTTAGAAAAATGAAACTGTTTTAGCTGAAGATGACTCTTACCGTGCCAAAATTTATATTAGTGTCCCCTAGTCCTACTGTTCTTACTGGTAAATATGAAAAAAGATGATGCATCAACA